GTTGTGGTTTTGATGTTTCTGGTAGTTGCACCGGTCCCGGTGATGGCGCCGCCGGTGCTGATTGCGCAGATTGTGCTGGTGGTTTCCTGCTGAAGGTGCTGTTTCTGATCCTGATGGCTTCGGTGATACTTTCGCTGGTGCTGCTGGTGCCGGTGGTGGTGGTGTTGCTTTCCCTCCTGGCGCCGCCGGATTCCGCGTTGGCGGCGCAAACTCCAGCTCCAATGCCCGGCGCTGACTCGCAGCCGTAGTGGTGCCTTGCCTGCTCCAGCGTATTCCGGGAATTCACAACGTGGACACTGCTCCTCCCACGCACACCCTCCTCCCGCTTCACCAGCGCCTGCTCCTCCATGTCCGCCACAATGAAGCCGAGGGCGTGCGCCATCTCGTGCACAGCCACGCGGATGTGCTGCGACGTGTTCTCGATGTGGCGCGGGTTGTAGTTGATGACGCCAACAACAGGACGCCCTCGCGGGCCCAACGTCGCGCACGGCATCGCCCACGCAAAGGTCGGCTTGAACGTCGGAACAGCAGTCGCGTACAGCACCATGTCCGCATCGGGCACCCCATCCGTGTGGTGCTCCTCCGGCACAGGAAACTTCCCGCAAACACTGCCCTCACGGAACCTCGGCACGACCAGCGGGCCATCCAGCGGCCGCACCAGCAGACGCTCGCTGTGCATCTTCGCCGCCTCGGAAAGAATCACGTTCTCGAGAATGTCCACCTTCTCCTCCGTCAGAATGTCCTCCTCCTGGCAGACCATCTCCTTGCCAAAAAACATGTTTATATGCTCCCCGGCCCTGGTGCAGAATCCCCCCAACCCCTCCAGGTCATCCGCAAACACCTTGATTCGGAGGGGCGCCCAGTCACTGCCCACGGACACAGTGACAGTACTGGCCGGCTCCTCCCCGCCCGTCACTTCGCCAACGTTCCGTGGCAGGCGATCAAACACGCAATGGTGCGGCACCGCAATGACGAGGCCGCCACCGGTGCACAGCAACAGGAGCAGCGCGCAGCAAAGCTGGCGGAGCTGGCGAAGCATTGTGAGTAGTTTGTTTCTAGCGTTCAAAACTATTCCTGCATGCACAGCGAAAGTGCGCACAAGACGAGAATAGAACAAACACACACACACAAACAAAAAAAAAAAAAATAGATTTAGAGAGCTTTTTCGCAAAAGCAAAAAAGCGGTTGGCAAAGAAACACCGCTGCCATTTTTGCATGTAAGGCTGCCTGGATTTGAGAGGTCGTTTGGGTGAACTGGTGATCGGCCAACAAACTTCTCTCAAAAGCCTAATTCGCCGGCGTACCCACAAGTAGCACTAATAAGAAAAAAAAAGAAGCATTCGCTCACAATTGTGGTCTCCTTTATCGCATGAACAAAAAAGAATATTGCCCCCGCATCCATCAAACACGGATTCATGCTACCATACGCCTGTTTCTACCAACAGAAACAAGACCGCCGCAACAACATGCCAAAAAGTATATAGAAACATTATTAGTGATAGCACAGCAGGCAAGACAGGCGATATTCGTGAAACACCGGCAGCGCGAGCACGCGTTTCATCCCCTCGTCTGCAGTAATGGTCTGCATACTTTATGTATTTCCGAGCTAATACTTCAGAGCGCAGCCATAAGGCACATGCTGTGAATAAAGGTACAAACATGTTGATCAGGCACAGCGCTGCCCCGTGATACTCAAATCCCACCTGAAGAATCCATAGGGAGACGGCGGGAAGAAAGAGAATGAAGCCGCACGCAGCCCATCCATTCATCCAAGTTTGCAATTAAGCTTTTTCTAGCTTGAGCAAAGTCAGGTTCGGAAACACCGTGTGTTTACATCAAAAAAAAAAAAAAAGAAAAGGCAAAAACAAAGAAAATTAAAAATGAATTTATGTGAGTAAATACACTGCAGCAATCAGTCGATGCAAACAGAAGAGGTAATGCTTTTATCCTCTTGGTTGTTCTCATTTCTGTAATCTCAAACAAGAAGTGTGCATATCTTCTACATTGAATATTCACACATACACGCCTCAGCGGACCCTTGTTTTCCATTTGCACGGAGCGTGGCGGCTTTGGCTGTAAATCCCCATCAGTCCAGCAGTTGTTACATTCTCTTCTTCTATTTTCCTCTTTGTCGCAAACGCATACACACACAAAGGGACTAGAAATTAATAAATATGAAAAATACACTCAAAGGATCAAAGAATGCTTAAAATCGCGAAGAGACCCTGTTGTTTACGGGAAGTGGCGGCTTGCGGGCGGTGTAGCAGGCCCTCCAGAGCATAAACAGCAGGTCTGCATTGGTCACAATCTCGGCCCGTGTCCCTGACACTGTCTCAATGTCGGCCGCACCGACCATGTCGTACGCAACCACCATTGTCTTAATACCCTGCACAACGGTGGCACAAGGGTGCAGCGGAAGGTTTTCGAGAATCTCAGCTGTCAGAGGCCATCGCTCCCCGCTGCGCCACACGTTTACAGATTGCTTCTTTGAAAAAGTCACGACGAGCCTCTTCACTTCTTGAAAGCCCTCCAGGAAAATAACGGCTGCCGTCGTGCCGCAGCGCAAACGGTCTTTGATCTGACGAAACAGTTGTATATCCGTGTAAATGTTCAGTACCATGCCCTTCATCCGCGCCATAACAAACGCCATGGCTTCTCCTATGGGGAGCTGCTTCAGCACAGCGGGACTGAAAAGGGCACTCGATGCCCTCGCCGTTGCATCATCATCAATGCAACCGGAACGATCTAAAAGCCGACGAAGCACCTCGCGGTCAGCGTTGAGCTCTTCTGTCCGTGTAATCTCTTCATGTAAAAGCCGCTGATCCTCTTCTTGTTGTCTGCGCAGCTGCTCCAGGCGTTTCTGAAGCTGTAGCTTATCAAAGATATCAACATGTGTTTCCTCCGCATGCCTAAGACGCTTCTCCACCTCCTCAACATCCTGCGAGAGTTTCTCGAAACGACGTTTCCTGCAAAACAGTTGCCAAAAGAGCAGCGCCCGATACAAAATATTTCGTTGGCATTGTTTTTCCCTCACGATAGCCAATGCTCGCAACGAGACAATGCCGCAACGATACTCATGCCACCGACGCCATGCAGAAAACACTCGGCGACGCCCTCTCTCTATTGTCACCTTTGCGTAAGCCTCCGCAAATCCTGCGGCACAGGCTGCACGATTGCTACTCTTAGTCACAGCACCGGTTGCAGCAGGTGCCACAGAGGCTCCCACTGCATTTTGTCCTCGACTTGCGTAGGACATTTTCCAGTCTTCATACGCCTGTCGCAGAACACGCTGTCGAGACTTCCCAACCAAAAGTGCAAGTTTTTCTTCCGGCAGTACACCACGTCGCATGGCATCATAACATTTCCAACGAGTAAAGAATTTTCCTAAAATCAACCCATTGGAAACTCGAGCAAAGGCCTTGACAATTTCCCCCTGCCGTCGCAGTGCTTTGCGGCGCGAAACCACGCCTCGCCACCTAAAGAGCAGCCGCACGACCCACGTCTGGTGGGATAGTCGCTCCAGCGCAGCCGCGGTGAGCTGTCTTCTGAAGCGTCGCTGCTCGCGATCATAAAATTCGCACCATATACTGAAATAGCGACGCACAAGCCGAAATTGGTGACGTTCCTCAAGAGTGAGGCAGATTTCCTCCTGCTGCCTGCCACGCAGGCGGTTGAAATTAATGCGCGCCCGCCACTTCGTGTAGTAGGCAAGAAGCAGACGTCGTGCATGAAGACGAGTCAAAAGACCTCCATATTTTTCTTTACGTTGCACCTCCTTTTCTCTTAATATGAGAGCCTTCTGCTCCCATGCAGCAGCTTCGGTGGTGTCTTGGGTAATGATGGCGTTCATGTCATTTATAGCCTGCTGAAGCGATTCTTCCACTGTGTTTCGGAGGCCGCACCACACCTTACTGATGCCATTGCTGCCCAATGCCAGCACCCGCATTGTATCCACATTTCTGATGCAGTCCAGGGAAATAACTTCCTGTCGCTGCTGCTGATGCTCTTGCGACTCATCAACGTCAACAAACGTCCCACGCACCACTTGTTCCACGCCAAAGTCATCGTCTGGGTTTGCACTCCAGCGTTCCACAAGCCCGTCGGCGTAGGCAACCCAAAGACTACGGGACCCCTCGTGAATGACAAGGTCGCGAACGGCAACCTGAAGAGGAATACACTTCAATAAATAAAAGTTCTTTTGCAGCATTACCTCCGGAAACGTTTCATCTACCTTCACATTCCACACATTCACGTAACCATCTTCAGAAGCCGAGAAAATAAGATTCCCCATCAAAGTGAGCGCGTTCACACGATTGGCGTGCCCACGAAGTGTCGCAATCTGCAGTCCAGAGGCACAATCCACCGCAACAATGGCACCGGACATGGAACCACACAAGACAATGTTGGCGCCAAATGCCGCCATGCATGTTAAGCCTTGATGCAATTCTGAGACACCAAATATCCGTGAGATGGCTTCAAAATTCTTCTCTTCCGTGTCCCATCGAACAAACGCCATGTCAGAAGAGCCACTGACGGTAATACCATTAGACAAAACACAAAAGGCTATAACAGGAGCCTTATGGAAACATCCCATTGTTAGCGGCACAAGGCAAAGATGGTCATGCACCACAACGGATCCGTCATCGTAGCCCACCCAGAGATGAGTTGGTGTCTCTTTCAGTGCCGTTGGCTTAATAATTTCACCACTCGCCGTGGTACGTGCAGGAATTCGCGTCGACAACAACCCGGAGACGCTACTGTAAACGTCAATGGTACCAGTTTCCCCATTCGCGGCCCATATAGATGCACTTGCTCTTACCACCGCCACTCGCACGTATGGTCCCTTGATGGTAAAAGGGACATTGTACTGTCCCACATCTGCTTTACTTTGCGTCTTGGTGCCAAGGCTTCGCGGCCCAGTATCAACAGAGGGTGAAAACGTCACCAACGGCATAGTATTTACGGCAACAACCGAGGAAATAGGTGCAGCAGGTTCCGGAGAGTCATCATGGACGCTAGACTGGCCTCTAAGAGACTGTGTAACGCGTGGTGACTTCTTTACCGTACTGCGACGCGTTGTCAACCGACTGCCTGCCGCAGGACGCGCCACTGGCGTCGTCGAGACGGTCGCTGATCCAATGCTTGAGGGAGGTCGTCTATTATTCATTAACGGTACCGCACTGAGCCGGCTCACTGTGCTACGCGTAGGGCAAATGGCGGTTAATTTGCTCATCCGCAAGGGGCCTCGTTCCTTTTCCTCCGGAATCTCTTTCCGCCTCAGGGACATACGGAGAGGAGTCGTCGCCGTCAGCTTGTCCCGGGTGGCAGTCGGTTTGTGCACACTCCTCTTCCCCTCCCTTGACAACGGTGTCGACATTGCCAGAGAGGGTGCCTCTAATATATTCCTCTTTTATTCCTTCTCTCTTGGATGGTGCCTCTTCCTTGCCTCAGCGGGTTTCGCCCACCAGTCACGCACACAGACAAACACACGCAAATTCCACCTTCTTTGGCCTCCTTTCCGTTCCCTGGGGTAAACGCAATAGACGATCTGCGCCCGATTTTGTCCAGAAAATTGAGTTCCTCTGCAGTTCCTTCGTGGGAAACGCACGTCTCTTTGACGTAGCCTGCTTCTTAAATGCAGGCCTCCTTCTCCAAAACAACAACAATTGTCTCTTTATGAGCAAATGAACCTCGCTAAATCTGTTTAGACACTGCAGACAAACACACACACACACACACACACACACACACAAAAAAAAAAAAAAAAAAAAAAAGCCGGGCATAAAAAGAAAGAGAGAAAAAGAAGGAGAAAAAAAAAAGATTATTATTATATTACACTCCTTCACTCCGCCCATGCAAGGCCTAAAAACACACCCCAGCACAATCATCATATTACGACAGGGCATGTAAACACCCCAACGCTCACACAGGCACACACACACACAATATATAATATATATATAATATATATATATTGCGTGTTGCATTGATATACACTTAGAGTTCCACCCATACAATTACACACGTACACAAATGGAAAGAGAATTTAAAAAGAGGGAAAGTCCCGTTCGTTGCGTCTCCTTTCACGTCCTCTACTCTCCCGGCCTTTCGTTGCAAATGTCTCCATATAAGCCACCAAAACAAGAAAAAAAAATATGTTTGTTTGTTTATCTTGATAACAAACAAGATTACTCGCGCAGAAGCCGTACAGGGTTATCTCTCCCTTCATCATCAGGCACTAATGTTTGTTTGTTTGTTTCTCTTTTTCGTTCCTCCCTCTTTTTCTATACCTCTCTCTCACTTCTCTTTCCTGTTTTACTCCCTCTTTGCCTCATGTTCCTTTTGTTTTTCCGTTCGTTTGTTTTTCCCCCCTTCTTGGAGACATGTATTATTTTATCCTTCATTCGGTCCTCCTGCCCTATTCTCAACCCGTCCCAACCCACTCCCTTCCCCCATCAAATAAACCGACGGATGAAGAGACCGAGAAGGGAATAAAAGTGCGCATGGGAGAAACGATAAAGGCCATATGTACCCGCAGAAAAAATTTTAAATGCACGCTGCATTGTTCATTTCCTCTTCCTTCACACTACACATATATACAGAGAGATGCCAGTATCATGATGTTAACCTCAACCGCCCTCTCCTCATGCCTACCTCTTTGCCCCGGTATCCTTTTACTTCGCCTCTTTTTTTTTTTTTCCTTTTTTTTACTTTCCTCTTCTCAGCCCATATATTTATTTATATATGCACATGTGCACGCATGTATGTACGGATGGATGCAATAACTTTTCTTTTTTTTTTTTTTACTTCCACAATTATCAAAAAATGACATGCTCACCACCGGCGCTGCAAAGGATGGTGCGCCTAAGTGAACGACTGACGCGCTTTGACCCGGGGCGCCTTATAGCAGTTCTTGGTTCACTCTGAGAGGTTTCCCTCCTGTCATCATTTCCCTGAAAGCAATTTAACCCGTCACTAAGACAAAACGCACCCTCGGCATCCTTTACATAGAGCTCATCATAGAGCAGCATCCATGCTCGCATGGTCGCCTCCACCGCGTCGTACGTTTCATCCCAGTCAATGTCAATGGTTTCAATGCCCAGGAGCGCCAATGCCTGATAGTACTTTGCATGTAGAGTGCGATGGCTGTAAAGCAGCAATGAAATGCCAATCGTTGGTACTGGCTCGGACGTCGGCATGCCTTGCTGTAAACGGCGTCCTCCAGCATCACTGTTCCGTCCGGTTACCGGCGAATCATTCCGCGATTGCTCTATGCTTCCGCGTTGGCTAGTGCCGACGCTATTGGCGCGCGCGTAGGCCAATCCAGCTCGAAGGCCCAGCCTTGTCAGCTGCCGTTGAGGCACCTTTGGAAGTAATTCCTCTGTGACCATCGGCTGCGGTAAATACGCATCCGGCGACACAAAAGAATTGTTCCCGGACGCCATCTCTAGCTGGCTGACACGTTTTTCTTGCTGCTTCGGTTGCTTAAGTCGTTGAATCTGGGCATAAAGCGCAAGATACTTGACATATCGCGTCCAGTCCAGGTGCTGCCCTGCGATGGACTCCGCACAGTCTAGAAAACGTTTGTTCACGGAGAAAAATCTAACCAGGGAAGCCACAAAGCGATCCGTGCCCTGCTCGGTGAAGTGCGCCGTGATGGAAAAGTCCAGCACGGAGCAAAGATCTCCCACAGCGTCCACGTTGGAAAGGTTGCCAAGGTCCGCGCCGTTATACGGTGGTGCACATGGCACCTTAACAGCGGCAAAGGCTGTTGGTGGCGTTTTTGGTGATGGTGTTTTTGGTGACGGTGATGATGGTGGTGTTGTTGGCGCCTTCGCGTCGTCAGCAGCGAAGGCATTCCTGTTCTCCACATTCCGGTTCGTCTTGTCATTCTGCGGCGAAGAGGATTTTTCGAGGAAATCTCTTTCGCGGCGTTCCCAAAACTCGTAGCGCAACCAAAAAAGGTCCTTTTGGGTTGTGTGCACTATCATATTCCACACCCGCCTGCTACCCACCAGGGCCTCCTTCACCGCCTGTGGCCGCACCTTCTGCTCGAGAAAAAAAAGATTGTAGTTGCAATTGAGCACCTGCCCACATATCGCCTCGCAGTCTTTGCGGTAACTAATAGGATCCTGTGTCATCTGAGCGTAGTGAATGGCCATGACATCTGCCGGCGGCACAATGACGGCGTCGTAGTTCGCCGCTTGCATCGTGAGGAAGAAGATGTAACGGCTGATGGCTATTTGGAGGGCATCACGGCGAACTTTTTTATTCGACGACGACGACGGCAAAGAGGACCGCTTCCCGTTTCCAAAATACGTGTTGCCTCCCATTTTTGGCCGCCCCCGCTGCGTATTCCCAGTGAAATGCTTCTCATCGTCCTTCGATGAATCAAAGAAGAAGGACTCCAGCTGGTTCAGTGCACGCGTGGCTTCGGCGTAGCTGTAAACTAACCCATCGTCCAATGCCAGATCCACCTTGAGGTATCCATCGACCAGCAGGTTGATGATGGTCTGGACGGCGTCCCCAACAAAAAGCTTGGGGCGGAGCTTAATCCCGTTGATGTACTGCAACTGCAATCCGCAGATCTCAAAAGGGACTTTCGTCCGGTATGGATTCATGTTGTGTACCCCTTTCCAGACCTCCCAGTTGATTGTGTGCAGCTTGTAGAGATGCGCGATATCAAACCATTCGTTATGCGCAAGGTTCCTGTTCTCAGCAAAGGGGCACCCTACAATGTTAACTACCTGCAGATTGCTGAGCGAGAAGAGTGTCATGTTAGGATCATTAAGCTGCTCATTCTCACTCAGGTCAATGTCAACTAAGTTGGTCAGCTTGTGAAAGTATTTGGGTAGAGTGCGGAGATCACACGCTCGAAGAGAAAGCCTCTTCAGCGGAATGGGCTGAGGAACGTTGGCAATACGACCAGCACGGCTGAGTTGACTCATACCTATGCGTGTGCTTCCATGAGAGACGACGCTAACATTGTCTTCGTTTGCCTCCGTCACGACGTTGGGCGCAGTGCCGAAAAAGGCACTAGACGGGCCTAATTTCCTTACTAGTCGACCCGCAAGAACATCCAACGTCTCTAATGCGTTCTCCGCAAGGTCAAGGTAGGAGAGTTTGCGTAGCTGCACAACAACTTGCGGGACAGCCACGAGATGCATCCCCCGCAGGTGCAACTCCGTAAGAGTGAGTGGAAGGTGGGGCCCAAAGAAATCCAAGTCATCAAAGTTGAAGAAGTTTCCCGATATGTCAAGCGTCACCAGCGTCGTGATTCCCCTGACGCCAGTGGGAATTTCCCCTCGTATGCCGCAGTTGGCGATGCGCAAAATCTGGAGTGATGGCAAGGCTGAAAACTCCACCCCAGCGAACTGCATGTTGAGGTTATGCGAGAGGTCCAGCTCCTTTAGGAAGGGGCAGCGCAGAAGAGATTCCG